CGGGCGAGGTGGCGGGCGCCTGTAGTCCCAGCTACTCGGGAGGCTGAGGCAGGAGAATGGCGTGAACCCGGGAGGCGGAGCTTGCAGTGAGCCGAGATCCGGCCACTGCACTCCAGCCTGGGCGACAGAGCGAGACTCTGTCTCAAAAAATAAATAAATAAATAAATAAAGTAATTTATAAAGAAAAGGGGTTTAATGGACTCACAGTTCCGCACGGCCAGGGAGGCCTCAGGAAACTTACAACCATGGCGGAAGGGAAAGAGGCATGTTTTACATGGCAGCGGGCAAGAGAGCAGGCAAGAGCAGCGAACACTGCCTTGTAAACCGTCAGCTCTCCTGAGAACGGCTTGGGGCAAACCACTTCCACGATCCAATCACCTCCCACCAGGTCCCTCCCTCGACATGGGAGATTACAGGAATACAATTCAAGATCAGATTTGGATGGGGACACAGCCAAAGCATATCAGCAGGGAAGCTGGTGGAGTCGGCTTCAGGTTTGTGGGAACTGGGAGGTCAGGATGGAGATCACTGGTCACTGGCCATTATTGATCACCACTGATGTCCAGGGACCTTATTAAAGCGTGTGGCCATGGCTGGGCACGGGGGGCTCACGCCTGTAATCCCAGCACTTTGGGAGGCTGAGGTGGGCAGATTACCTGAGGTCAGGAGTTCGAGACCAGCCTGACCAACATGGTGAAACTCCGTCTCTACTAAAAATACAAAAAAAAATTGCCTAGTGTGGTGGCAAGTGCCTGTAATCCCAGCTGCTGAGGTGACTGAGGCAGGAGAATCGCTTGAACCTGGGAGGCAGAGGTTGCAGTGAGCGGAGATCACGCCACTGCACTCCAGCCTGGGCAGTGAATAGTGAAGAGTCTGTCTCAAAAAAAATAAATATAAATAAAAGAGGTTTGAGTTGGAGCTAGTCTGATGCAGCGGGGAGTCCTGTTTTCATCACCACCCCTCTCCCCAGCCTGGGGCATGGCTGAGGGGCCTTGGGGTCCCTGATCCAGCCTCTTCTCTTGCGTGATGGTGCCTCACGCTCCGTGCTCGGCCTGCAGTGCTGTCTTAAATGTCCCACCTGGAGCCACCAGAGTAACCTTCCTAACAGAAGATACGATCTGCCTTAAGGCTTGGACTCAAAACCCCTGTGGGGCCCAGGTTGCAGTGGCTCATGCCTGTAATTCTAGCACTTTGGGAGGCTGAGGCGTGAGAATCACTTGAGGCCAGGAGTTTGAGACCAGCTTGGGCAACGCAGTGAGATCCCATCTCTACAAAAAATAAAAAATTAGCTAGGCGTGGTGGCACGCGTCTGTAGTCTCAGCTACTCAGGAGGCTGGGGTGATAGGATTGCTTGAGCCAAGGCGGTCAAGGCTGCAGTGACTCCAGCCTGGGCGACAGAGCAAGACCTTGTCTCACAAAAAATAAGAAAATAAACCCTTATGCCCTGGCTCTGCCTCCCTGGCCAGTCTTATCCGTGCCCTCACTGTGCTTGGGCCCCTGCACACTGGACTTTCTCAGGTGTGGCCTGTTCACCTGTGGCCCCTTCTACCAGGAAGACAGCTGCTCCTCTGCCCAGCGAGTGCCTCGGAGTCTCCAGCGTCTTCATCACTCCAGCCGCAGAGGCTTCCCCATTCTGCGGCTCCTTTTGCTTGTGGCCAGTGGTAAACGTTGGGCAGCTTCTGGGTGCAGTGGAGGGGCTGGCGGTGGTGCCTGCCCATTTCCATGGTGTGGATTCTCCGTCAGTGAGCTCAGAGTTGGAAGGTGCGAGTAGCTGCCCTCAGGAGCTGGTCTGAGGCTGTGGCCTTAGCACCACCTCAGGCCCCGTAAGTGTATCCCTGTGTGAGTTCTTTGAGGACGGGAGCCCGGCTTTGGGTTTCTCCTCATCTTTGTACCTGAGCTGTACGTTGTGTCAATGAAGGCGGTGGCGGGACAGATGGAAAAAGAAGCCGCAGGGCCTCTGGGTATCTGGGCGGGTGGCAAGTCAGGGTGACCTGTGAGCTGTGACTCTGGGTGACTGGGCTGAGGTGTGTACGTTACGGCTGGGCCCTGAATGAGTGGTGGGCTGCAGAAACGGGAGTGGAGCCGCGTTGGGGGGAGAGCTGTGGCCAGCACCACTTTTCTTTGTCAGTGTAGACATTGTTTTTAACAGATGAGCAGCACCAGCAATAAGAGGGCTCCAACCACAGCAACCCAGAGGCTGAAGCAGGACTACCTTCGCATTAAGAAAGACCCAGTGCCCTACATCTGTGCCGAGCCCCTCCCTTCGAATATTCTGGAGTGGTAAGGCTGCGCCACTGATCACCTTGCACTGACTCTCGCTGCCACGCAGGCCTCTGCTGGCCTGGCTGGGTGAGCCTGGTGCCCCAGTCATGGCATTGGCAAGGTGCTCCTGCACCCTCCCCAGGGGTGAGTGGGTGCCCAGGGGCCGGTGGACACTCTCCGGTCTTTTCCCAATGGACGCATGCTGGGGATGTCACAGAACCCTGCTTGACTCAGTCTGGGGCTGGAAAGAATCTCCGGTGTGGGGTCCTTGGGGGAGGGGTCCAGGTTGCCTCAGGCTGGGGCTGGAGAGAATCTC